GGATGCTCGATGTACCTGTCGGCCAAGTTTGGTTGCTCAGCTCCGGATCAGGCAGCAGCTCGCAGACAAACAGGCAGAAGATCGATGATTCATCACATTTCTGTTCTTTACGCCCAAGAAAACCGTCACTGTAGCTTTCCAGGAACTCTAACTCCTGGATTTTTCTTTTCTGTGGTGATTTATTGGGAGACATTAAAGACCGGGTATAAAATATCAAACAAAAAAGGTTGTATTTTCCACCACAAATGCAACAAAAAAAGTTACATTACAACAGTTTTAATTGTTTTTTAAATAATTTCACAAAATTTTTAACTACATTTCCCAATTTAGGAAAATATATAATCGCATTAGTCCCGTTAAATATATGAAATATGATCGACCAAATTTTATTTTACAGGTGATTACAATGATGAAGCAAGTAGCACAACACGTATCAAACACGTTGATAAATAATAATCATCATCATCATCATCATAATTTAAATAATACTAATTTTATATTAAAAAAAATGTAGGACACAAATTAAAAATATTTTTGAAAATATTCAACAACAGCATTGAAAACACCAAAACAATGTAAATAATGAGGGACTCCATTAAAATAAAGCAACAACAAATCTCATATCACATTAAGATCTCTCTACAATAACATAAAATAACTATTTTTTAGTATTAAAAAGCAATTAGACCACTGGGTAAAAGCAGAGCAAAATATTTTAATTTATTATTTATTTTCCAGATTTGTAAATGAAAATATGAAAAAAGGCCGGAACAAAAATTTAGTGCCAACTGCTTCCCATCAAATAACAGAAACATTAAAACGTCTAAATAAGAAATATTTAAATGCATCAAACCAATAAAATTCTTTGATATCTCATCCTGTTAAAGAACCTGAGTGCTTGTTCCAACACGAGCTTATTGAACAGGATGCTGTTGTGTCTGTAATTAATGGCTGTTATCTCCTACAGACGGTGAGTCACACAGCTGTGGGTTGCTATAAAAAACAGGGTGTCACTGGGGGATTTAGATAAAGCTTAATTGAACATTACGGGAGGAGGATGCAGAGTAGCAATGATGTTGGAAGTATGGTTGAAGTTTATGTCTCATAATCATTATCCATAAACGCAGGTTTGGACGGCGTGGTCCAGATTAGTGTTTAGGAAGGTAACGACGGCTTTAACACTGCCAACATTATGGGTTTGGACGCCACCGCGGGGCCGCTGGTGCTAAAAACGACCACTCTCGTGGTGCCGTCAGATGAAAGAAGCAGCCCAGTGGCATATGGCGCTATCCAGCCTCTGATCATTAGCATCAGCCATATGCTTCCAGTACAGTTAGTAACCCACCGATGCAGCTCTGTAGGCGCTCGCATGCCAGCACACAGCAGGCGTGCACATTTACAGCGTGTTGCATGTAGTAGTATAAACTGTATGGCTTTATTTAATTATATATTTTAAATGTTTAGATAGTCAAAGCACCCAACAGGCCAAAGACTGTAGAGAGATGAGCTAATACCAGCAAGCTTGCCAAGTAACACACAGATACCTGCACATCAGTGCATTTAAATAAAATATTAGGATGTGGAAGGTCTGTTTGTGTTGAATTTTTAGTCACTGAACTGCATTTGAAATGAGTTTAAATCATGAGACTAATTTTAATTCTTAATATAGTTTTTAAACGTGAGTTATAAACAGTTTACCACCTGTAGCGTTTGTATAAACAGGATGCTAGCCCATAGA